CTTTTGTAGATGATAAAAGCAAATAAGAGTAGTCGAAAATTGGTCATTTTTTAGGAGGGGAACATAGTACTGCAATAATCGTCTCAAAAGCAACTCAAAGGGTAGAAAGCGCCAAAAAAACACGTACCGAGACACGAACAAAACAACGACACAGAGCACCTCGGCGTCGGTCCATGTTTTCTCGGCGCTTTATACCCTTTGCAATGTACAGGGTGTCACAAAAGAAAATGTACACCGTCTTTTTCACCGCAAAAATAGACTAGGCATCGCCGAACGCCCATTCGCAAAGGTAGCGCTAGAGGTCACAACCAGATGCCAAAGTTTCAGGTCGATCTGATAACTTAATCCAAAGTTACAAGTGATTTTCTGAAAATTTCAATGGGAAAATGGAGCCCATTTTTGCCCGTTTTCGGTTTCTGATGCCATAGAGCCCCATGTCTTCGAAAACTCCGTCGGCCAACATTTTCCCATTGAAATTCTCAGAAAATCACTTATAACTTTGGATTAAGTTATCGGATGGGACTGAAACTTTGGCATCTGGTTGTGACCTCTAGCGCTACCTTTGGGCGGAGAATGAGCGTTCGGCGATGCCTAGTTTATTTTTGCGGTAAAAAAGACCGTGTAAATTTTCTTTTGTAACAACCTGTACATGTAACCACTGGCTCATCCAAGCACATTAAAATAACGCATCATGTTTTTTTTGTTTTTTTGTTTTGTTTTTTCCGCGGCAGTGATGTGTCTCGGCGTCAGCTCTCGAGCTCTCGAGCGCGCGCTCGCTGGTTGAATCGTAGTCCGTGCTGTATGGGCAACGATACGCGCGCATTCGAGATATCACTCCGCGGTTCCACCGTTCGGAGGCAAGAAGTTCCTTCGCTTGCAATTGGCTTAGAGTGGTCCTGGTTTCGGTTCATGCTTCTCCATCGACGGAGATGACCTCGGTGTTCTGCAATTTTTTATTGCTTTTTAAAAGGGAAATCGGCCGCGTATCGTCGTGATTTAGGGATTCCTAGGATGCATAGAGCCAATAGAGTGAGTTATTGCCTCATTTAACGATTTCAAAAACCTCCTCATGGCACCTTTAACTTGCATATAACTCTACACTTTTTTATATTTAGTGTACAACCATAGCCTCCTCTATACTGAAAAAGCCTGGCAGATCGCCACAAGACGCGGCCGCCGAAATTGAAAAGGTAGAGCGGCAGACAACGGATGAGAGGAGAGCCAGGTGACGGGCGCCCCGCTGCGGCGAGACGCCGAAACACACTTCTCCCGAGCGATGGCATGTCCGCTCTTGATTCTCGCGTTCATCGGGCTACCGCTTCTTTTCTCGCCGGGTTTGAAAACCATGTTTCGAGTCCTCGCCACAGCAAAAGCTGTGCACTTACTGCAGGCTTCCCGAGAAATGCTCTGCGCTACAAGATCCTCGCGCTCCAAATCTGCGACCGGGCACTCTATGGCTCCGTCGTTGAACTGCTGGGCTTTGTGAGCAGGGGAGGTACAACGCCGTCAGAGCTGCTGGCGTGAGCATGGGATTTGAACTCTCAGATTATTGGCACGCGTATTCGCGCAAACGAAATCATAGGTGACGCCCCACGCTCGGGCCAGTAGCTTTGACAGCGTTGTATAGGCGTTTTCCGTTTCCTGTCCTTTTCAGTAACGTGGGTTCCGCACCTGGCATGCGGGACGAAAAAATAATAAAACATTACAACCTGGAATATGCAAGAAAATGTGGGTGAGGCAAAACAGGAATGTGTGACAATCCCGCATTTCTCGCAAACACCTTCCAGCGGTGTGGAGAGATCAAAACGATGGTTTACCGCATACCAGAAGTGACGACATTCAAATTAGCTGTGTCCTTGTGGAAAAGGTGTATACTAAGAATGAAACGGGATATAGTACACTGTAATATAGTCAGATACAAGTTAAAGGATTGTCCGGTGATATCCAGAAGTTACTAAGTTTTTCCGGTGCTCACGTAGAGATAGCCTAAATAAAGTCAGATCTAATATTTATTTCATTAAAAGACGTCCCAATATTCGTTAAATCAACTATAAACAACAATACAAAACTTCACGCCAAATTTCGCGAGTATGCACGGCTGGCCGTGTTGCGAAATCACATCAGGGATGGTAGCGTCAGAGGCCCGGGCGTTGACTTATTCCAGGTTTTGACCAACATGGTTCATGGTGCGTACAAAGATCATTGTCGAAGAATTGAGCTTCCCTAAATACCGTGAATCTTGTCTTTCTCAGAACTAAGTTATTTTACTGAGACAGCAGTCAAGAGCTGTCGTGACTCTTTTTGCAGGATGTTATATCAGAGCTTCCGCTGTTGCCAACGAAAACGCTGTGTCTTTTGCGGGCGCAATCTCAGCAGTTTCGCTCCATTTCAAATTTAATTACTTGTGCCGTGAAGGATTAAAATTCGGATATTGTGCTGACGATATTCTTAAAAGCAAAGACGATATCTTATCTTTATAACGTGCAAAATCTTTGTGTCACTGGAGGCAGGGGTGTATGAGCAACTGCTACAATGAATGGTAAGATGTACTGACGGAGTTTATCTAGTGGAAGCTGCATGATCACGGGCACGGTCGTTCACACACCTTCCCCGTTTGGTCTATATATGTAGCATATATATACGACAGCCGACACGACATTGGAATTTAATAAGTGACCCCTGTGGCGCAGTCAGGTAATTTAATCTGCTGTTTCGTGTCAACTAGTGCCACTAAATAAGCTACGCTTCAGAGCAGAGCTGGCCAAATTACTCATATTTTGTAATTAAATTACATTACTAATTACTTTGCTGAAAATTGCTAAAATGTAATTAAATTACATTACAAATTACCACAGCCACAAAGTAATTAATTACTATTACAAATTATTTTTAAAAGTAATGACATTACTTTCGCATTACCTTTGTATGCTTTTAAATATAAAGGAGCTATTGATAACTTCCTTTTATAGATAACTTTATTTACATTATTTACACAGTTCATGGCACACAGCTAGAACTCTCTGTTGCATGTTTACCGATGGACAGAGGAACGCACGCGACTGATCCGTTTCCCACCCCAACCCGGACAACTATTTTTGGAGATGACTGAGGACCCTACGCGGATTATCTCTGGGAGGGGGGAGAACAATTGTCATTGTTCGCAAAATCGCGTCGAGGGCCGTTCCACCAGGGGCCATAGCTCGACCTACTTCCCCTCCTTCGTTTCCCGAGAATATCGAGCAGAAAAGCTCGAATGGAAGCCACTCACCAGCCCTATTTCTCACAGTGGAAGATAACACAGAGAGGGTACGCAGTATGCATCAGAAAAAGTAAGCGGAAACTTTCAAGAGGGGCCAGAAAACGTCGAATGCAAAACCGCAAAACATAGGTAGAGAATCGCGCTGAGCGGGTTTTCACAGTTCAAGAGAGTGGCAAAAAATGTCTAGCTGATAGCGGGCGCGAGAGTCGCACCAGCCGCATTAGCATCAGCAACATAGCGGCGGCCAAAGAGCGTTTTTTGGAAAGGTGTAGAGGAAAAAGAAAAAGTAAAATAAAAAGAAAAGCGCTCTTGTGTATTGTGGGCACAAAAAATATGCCTGGTGCGAAAAAGTAATTAGGTAACTCCGTCGCTGGAGTAATTTATTACATTACTAAATTACCTGCTACAAAAGTAATGAATTACATTACTAATTACTGGAACAAGTAATTAAATTACTGTAATTTCATTACAGTAATTGCATTACTGCCAGCTCTGCTTCAGAGTAACGACACTTGGCCATACAATGTCTTAAAATCATGGTTGACAGTTATTTGAAGCTTTACCTGAATTCACAGGAAACGCCTTTCTGCCCTGCACAAATGTTTAAACCGTTCGCGACAGAGCAAAGCAAGATTACATGACCTTCCAAACACCGAATCTCATGCTGAGCAAGTCGCACTTTCGAATCATGACGATCGGGAAGTGCGTCTGCTCTGCATACGAGCCAAAATGGCTGCGCCCACAACAATGTCGGGGAACGAAGTGCCGATACTCTAATCTCAGCTCATTTACCGCTCATTCACACTGAAAGCGGATCCGCGTTCGCGAAGCGGTTGCGAACGCGGTTGTATAGACGCTTTGCAGCAGCTGTGCATGGGCGCCGCCATAACTGACCTTCAGTTTTTGTTCCCCCTTATTACGTTTACTTCACTTCATTTTTACCATAGCAGGCCAGGTTATTGACATCTTAGACTTTATTCTGTCTTGCTCCTCAGCATTGGCCTTTGTGGAGGCTCGTCCACACCAATTTCAGTGGCTCGGTATCTCGGTAAAACAAGAGAAGGTCAGCAATGGCGGCTGTATTCTGGCGCGTGTGTAAAGCGTCTATAAAGATCCAGTACAATTGCACGCGCACTCGATGTCGTCGAGTGCGCGTGCAATTGTACTGGATCTTTATACAACCGCGTTCGCAACCGCTTCGCGAACGCGGATCCGCTTCCAGTGTGAATGAGCGGTTAGAGTCTCTAGTGCCAACGGGTCAACGATAAGCTATGAAAAGCTCGCGCTACCAGTTCAACATCCTTTGAAGAGCGGGCAAGGGTCGGTATCAGATGATATATTGGGACTTTTAGATAAGTTGTCAAAACAAATCATTATCTCACGGTGACCTAAAGATGATTCGGATGCCCTGGTCGATATCTCGGGGACGGCCGCAATTGAGCAATATTTTCTACAGTACTCCTAACCTGTTACCAACTAGGTTTGGCCTTGGGCTTCAACACGAATGGCAGGAATCGAAGCGGGGCTCATAAAATAGATAACCCGCTTATCAGCAATTCGAGTGGCTTGAGTCTAGTCATTTGGTATCATCGACTCGTGACGCGAATTCGCTCGGAAAAATGGGACTGAAACAAAGAATTATAAAAAAAAAAAAAAAAAGTTAAGTGCACCGTAGATACGATTATCCTCTTGGCGTCTTGACTAAGTTAATGTCATAGCAACGCCGGCGTATTTAAGATCATCAAGATTGCAAGTGAAACGCACTCTTCTGGGAGCCCTGAAGGAAACCCATTTGGAGCAGCCATGCGTGTGATCGTCCTCGCACTCCTGCTAACTCCATCGTTGGCCTCGTGGGAAAAGGGTAAGCAACACATGGTATCACCAAAATCACATGGATAGCAGCGGAGTTCGAAGAGAGCCTCAATGGGATGTACAAAAGGGTAAAATAAAGAAGACTCTTGCGAACGAAGCTTCGAAGCCTAAAGTGGTATGCTTAAAGGGGCCATGAAACGAATTTCGGGTTGGGATGAATGATTTTAAATTGGGACTTTACTAATCGCATATCGTTTAGTTCGCCAAACGAAAGAGGCTAGAAAGTCAAAAGCCAGCTTTTCGGTACGAACATTTGAAAATAGAGCGGACTATTTCGTACCTTCTTGCCTTCGAAAGCTCTCCGCCTTTTCACTATAATACATCCACGGTTCCAAAAGCGCGTCACCGGCGCCAAACTGACGTCAGTAGAGCCCAGCCTACGCATTGGACACGAGAACTGCGTCACTCGGACGTATGCGCTCGTCAACAATCAAACCGTCGACGAATATTTAAATTCGCGTTCGTGGCCAATGAGTGCCCTGACGGAACTTATTGCCACTGAGGAATGACAAGTTCTATGGAACTGACGGAACGTCACTCGGAATACTCGGCGGAGACGCGCTGAGCGTGGACGCGTGCCTCTCACCAGACTGCGGCCGGCCAGCCGTTCAGCCGGCCCTCGACTCCGGAGACCGACTCGTCGGCGGACAAGCGGCCCTCCCCGGGAGCTGGCCCTGGCAGGCATTCCTTCCTGTCCTGCCCGGAGATCACTGCGGCGGAGCCCTGATCGACGACCGGCACGTGATCACCGCTGCCCACTGCGCAGTGTGAGACTTACGTTCAACCTCGGTCACTGAAGTCGCCCAAAAGTCACACTTGACGTTGACTATGGACTATATAAGTCAATGACAGGCTGAGAACGACAGGGAGGATGCTTTAGTTGTTTGCCTCTGCCTCCGACACTAATGCTCCGGCGACTCGTGGACCTCCAGCGCGGGCAAGCAGCCGAAGCACGGCGGAAGGCACGGAGCGCGTGCTGCATGCCGGACCTTCGAAATATACGTCCTGAGGTTCTCAATCTGTCTGTGACTATCGACCCGTCTTCAAAAATGGAGTAGGGTATGACCATAGCCTCCTCTATACACGAACTCATCTCTGTTACGTCACGCCGCGGTGGTGGCGCGTCGGACGCACTTCCGGTCCGGAGCTGTGGGCGGAAGTGCCCATGTGAGACGTTTATTCCTGCGTTGTTTTGAAAGGAACCAGACAAAAACCTGCCTTCTCGTCAAAATGCTGTGACTGGGGCTGTACCAGAAGTGTCGAGAAAAATTTGAAGGTCAGTTTTCATGCGCTCGGTTCGTCCAAGAACTTGGATATGTGCCGTGAAAAGGGAAAACCAGACGCCGTCGGACCACGATTGCTTGGGCGGGAAGCATTTTGGGTTGAATTCACGGATACTTCTGGTCATCAAATTTGTTTTGTTCCAAAATGAACGCCCGAAAACCGTCAAATTGTACGGACCACCTGCGGACTACGTTCAGTGCGTCTTCAAGTTCAAACGGTCACCTGATCGTTCGAACGGTCGTCTGCTCTTTCAAACGTTTCTGCTTGTCGTGTGCTCTTTTAGAGGACATCGGCCCGTAGACCAAATGTGGGCCCGGTACTTGCGATAAGAAGTAAGTGCAGGCCTCAAAAGACTTAAGTTTGAAGGTTGGTAAGCAGGCTGGACGTAAACAGTAGATACAAGGAGATGTTGATCATTGTTACCAGTGGCCATCACCGACTTGTTATGCCTGATTCACTTGGTTACATTCTGCTTGCGATTTTCAGTATCAACGTCGACATCTCAGCTACGGTTCACGCTTTTGCAGTCCGAGCGACGTCGCTACTGAAAATTGCGAGCGAAATCGCATCATGGGAATCAGGCTTTAGCGTACATTCTGCGGCATCCACGCGGAATGAATCGCCGCATGTCAGATGATTCACGCGAAGTTTTGCGGTGTAACGAGCTCGGTAATTTCGCTGACGCCGCTCAAGTAGTCAGACATCGTTAGGAGTACGTAGAATCAACAATTCCAACGCCAAAAAGAGCGCGGGGACTCACACCGACGCCGACAACACCGCAACTCAATGGTTTGTTTATGGGCGACGGCGAGCTTTTCGCCCACACCCCCATCGCGCATGCGCGGCGCCGGTGGCGTCCGCTAGGGGCGCTCCGGGCGCTCCGGTTGGTTTGTAAACATGAGTTGGTGTATACTCACAAATCCTGGCAGTTCGGCGATGGAGCCATGGAGTGCCCAGTCGCAGATTTGGAGCACGAGGATCTGGTAGCACAGAGCATTTCTCGGGGAACCTGGTCGTCAGTGCACAGCTTTTGCAGCGGCGAGGACCCGGAACATGGTTTTTAAACCCGATGAGAAAAGAAGGGGCAGCTGGAGGAATGCAAGGAGCACGAGCAGACATTCCACTGCTCGGGAGAAGAATGTTTCGGCGTCTCGCCGCAGCGGGGCGTCCGTTACATGGCTCTCCTCTAATCGTTGTCAGCCACTCTACCTTTTGAATTTCGGCGGCCGCGTCTCGTGGCGATCTGCCAGGCTTTGTCAGTATAGAGGAGGCTATGGTATTACATTACAGCCGTTACGTTGCAAATTGGTGTCAAATGATCCGTTAGAGCTGTACGATACGAATTGTTTACAGGGGCTCTATAAATGATTGACCGGATAGGTTCCCAGGTAAGGAATTCCGTAAGGCACAACAATAAAAACAACGAAACAAAACAGCTCCCACTTTTTTGAGCATACGGTATCTTATTCTTGTTCTTTCAAAACATCCGAACGTATCTGAACACTTAAATGAACCTAAAGCAAATATAGCCCAACTACCCATTTCGTTCTGAACGTAAAAAAAAAAAAAAAGTTTTTACGCAGTATTCCAACAGCGCGGAACATGACGGTTCATCTCGGCTCACACCAGCGAACAGTGAAAGACGACTCGGAGGTGCACATCGCCGTTGAAGATATCTGCGTCCACCCCGGATTCTTGAATGACAAAAGCGCGGTAAGTTGACTGTTCCTGACCGTGTGCCCGAAAAACGTATGATTTTGCGAGAAGATAAAAATAAAAATGAACATATGAGTTGCAAGAAGATTAAAATTTGGACAGTCAATACAACTACGAAGCATGTACATTTTGCGGGTGCTCCTTAACCAAAAGCTGAAAAAAAAATCCTTTAGTGGGAACTGTATCTCTGATCTTCACCTATTTCCTAGCAATGTAATAGTGGGGAGACCTCTTTTAAATTAAGAAATAAAATTATAGTCGTTCTCTTTGTTTTTTCTATGTGGTATACTATCATCATTTTTGTTGATTGATTTAACTAGTGTAGTAGTACATCCGTTTCGCGCGTAAATTACAACGATATCGGCAAGGACTTTTGATATTCACAGTCTCCAGACGGCGGTAAAAAACAAGATGTACGTTCAGATCTGGAACGGCCTTTGACATGCCCAGTGTGACGGCACATTTTGTAGTCCCTTACTAACAAAGGGATCTCTGACATTATCCAGCTTGAGGTACATTTCTGGTCTATTTGAGTGATTGACCCTCTGAGCGGACCCTATAGGAGTAGAGGTACCGATGACCGGTCATTGCTGTTTACACCAAGAGGTTTTTTCCTGAAAATGCTTCTGCTCTGTTGCGTTCCGAACGATTCACAGAATGGAGATTGAAGAAGCGACTATTTTCTTTTTAGTTTTGGGGGAGAGAAAATATTTTCTTTGTGCTATAAAGCGACGTCCGAGATACGCAATGGAGATTTCCTCCAATTTGGCGTACTCGCCCGCGAATGGAAAGGCGGGAAGTAATTGTTCTCCTCCTCGCAACTGTACTTTTGACCAACGGCTTACCAATCAGCTGCTACTCGTGATATGGAAGAATGCGTAAGAGCTATCGGTGAACACGGTTGAAATCGTGCATTATGTTTCGCGCCTTTCCAAGAATTGGAAGTTCTATATACGTGCTGAAAAGCGTGTTTGCTCGTTTGAAGGTAATTCCGTGACATTACACCGCTCCCGCTGCCATTGAACTTTAGATAAACCTGCACTACCATTCAATCGTTGCAAACAAGAAGGGTCAAGCAGTGAGCTCTAGTCAAGGACACTTATAAAGGTGGAGGCTGAAAGAACGTATTTAATTGAATGATTGAATGAATTGCCATTATTTGCAGCAGCTCATAGTTCGAGCCGCTATTTATTTTAACGTGCTCGGGCACTGTTCTTGATATTTCAAGAGGTCAGTGTCCAAATGGGGGCTTGTGGTCATTGTGTTGTCCAGCGTTTATCTTAGTGAGTGGTGTCCGGCTGGCATGTGAGCACGCGTGCATTTCATAGAGTTCAACTTTCGAATTTCGATCGCTTCAGTCTTCTACATACAACCCGACCACTGCTGTTAAAAAGAAAGTAGAGGCATCGAAAAAAGCAAGGCAGATGTTCACTCAGCGTATAGTTCGGAGCGAGAAACCTAGCCGTTCGACCAAATTACTAGTGTGCGAAGCAACGACGGAAGCCATTAATATGGAACGAAATGATTAACACTAATCGCTGCTCGCCTTCCTTTGACGCAGGGTCGCACAACAGATATTGCGATCCTCAGGCTGCGTCAGAAGGTAAACTTCACCGAAACTATTCGCCCGGTATGCTTGCCAGAAAACGGCCAGAAGGTGACATCGGGATCGGAGATCTACGTTACTGGCTGGGGTTTCACAAAAGGTAAGTAAATGTCAATGGACAATAAAAAATTGAACGTTGAACGTGTAAACTCGCCGGCAGCGTCAAACGGCGTCAAAACTCCAACTAAAAAAAAAAAAAAAGAAGCTTGTGTGCAGAATTATTTTAAAGCTAACACGCGCATACTAATAATTTCGAAATTAAAGAATGGACATCGTTTTGCCTGGGCGTTTGTGTACTTCAACCCGAAATTCTGGTTTACTGATCAATTGGATGACGCATGAGAGCCTCAACCTGCTCCAAACTAGCGTCCACCACTCGACCTGCTCTTAAAGAAACAAAAGAAAGTCACGGTAATGTTTCTTTTGAGCCATCTGTGCCGTAATATCCGCTCAATAATATTGTGTGGAGATAATACTGCAAGGTGTTTGTTAACGCCCAAAGAAAAGAACATGGCAGCTATGAAACATTTTAACGTGTTTTTTGTTGACATTTTTCTGTTGTGCGAAACTTAGTTGCATAAAGACTATTCTAATGCTTAAAAAAAATCAACCCATCATGCGAAAAAAAGAAACAAAAAAAAGAACAGGTCAAGCGTCGCCAGATTATCACTGGCTCTGCCATGTTTAATACAAAAATGACAGCGCTCAAGAACGATTTCGTGATATTTTGCATATCACTGAGAATAACGGACGTGTGATTTGGTGACTCGATTGGCCACATGTCACTCCATCGTTCAGCGAGTATTCGACATGATAGCGTGATCTTCATATTGCCGCGCGCGCAACTGGCCAAGTAGGCAGCGCGCGCGTGGCCTGACGGTTATCGCGCTTGCCTCCCACGCGAAGGGCCAGGGTTCGATTCCTGGCCGCGGCTACGCATTTTGTTGACACTGTAATGTGATGTTCTGGTGAATTCGAGAACCGTCTAGCTGATTCGGGTTTAGAATGTTCTACGCGTCGAACCTTCTACGTCGAATGCTCCAGAAGCCAACGCGTGTACGAAAGCGGCTCCGCGTGGCAAGCCGGAGTCAGTTTCGCCCCAGCGTTCGACTCTGCTGTTACGCCGACTTCGACGCCCGCGACGCTCTCTTATTATCTTCTAAACCCCCTATTTTTGGCACAAGTTCGCCACATTAAACGTTTATTTCTTCCCGTTTATTTATTGTTCTTTTGGTCACCACCCGTGACAATATAACTTTTCGTAGCCGTTTTTAGAGATATGTTTTAGGAATAATTGGAAATACTTCCACGCGGATACTCTAGGAATATGACGTGGTTAAAATTGGTGAGGGCAGAAATGCACGAGGTGTACCTTTATAGGTCTAGTTGCATGAAAAGAAATATGTCGAATTACTTGAAGGTGAGTTCAGTTGGTCGGCGCATCCACTTCGAAAATAAAAGACCGAACGATTAACGATCAAGCCGTAGAATGACCAAGCACTTTAAACAACAGGTTGGGGACCCAGAACAATATATCTCATTTTGTAACTTAGTATATGGGCTGTAGTGGTGTTTGACTCCAGAAGGCCACCATGACCTGCAACGCTTTCTGTTTCCTTCGTAATAGCTTCCCCATGGCGCTGGAACAAGAACTAGGCACCAGGTTCTTCTTATCATATTTTTCCTAATTTTACATGACAAAAACGTTTGACTCCTGCACGCTCTCTTTTCAAACTAGGTTTCTGGGCTCTAAGGTGTTCCCCAGAGTACCCTCAGAGGTTCTCCAGAGCATTTAAATTTCCTCGACCGTTCCTGTCGCCTGATCAAGCGTTCTTCAAGTATATGCACACCTTGAGCCGATCTGAGCCACACATTGATGCAGAACTCTGACCTAAGCAGTCCATAGTAAGAACAAAATTGTTTACAAGGTGTCTGGGAGGAGTGAGTGGAATTAAGTAATAGTGTAAACACCGGGAATGCATTAAATAATCGATACTTACACTACGTTAACAATATAGGTCCTTTAACTGACTCTAAACGAAATTGTCCTGTTTCTTGAATATAATTCCGCAATAATTAAGGGGAACAGTGTTGATCAAGAGAATGCTTTTTTTTTATATTTTAGACGGTGTTGCGGATGCCCCCAGTGAACTGCATCAGCTCATGATTAAGGCAGTCTCCAACGAGGAGTGCCACAAGGATGTGTACAACCAAATCAACGGCAGTGTATTTTGTGCATCCCATGACCATGGATCCGTCTCTGGGGTAAGTTGGAGGTTACCATTACTGCGGAGCATCGCCTTGCACGGCCACTCTGGTCGGTATAAGCATCTTAGTTTGTATTCAATCTTTTTAACTCTTTTTTAAAGACTGTCTAGTACGGCAAACTGCGAAGTTCGCCTCTGATTAACGCTGAAAGTATAGGGCTGTCAAGCTTATCGATTAACGTATCTATGAATTGAATAGTGGATTACTTGATGACCAATTTATTAAAAGATCGTTACGTAGACCCTAACATGAGGTTTGCATGGGAATTATCTTTGTGGCTTTTTATCTTACCATCATTCACTTTCTCAGAGGTAATACTCCTGCTCTTCTGGCATTGCATGATTTCAAAGTATAGGAAGGTACGCAATTTATCCCTTTGCTTGAATCGAGTAAATTATTTATTTGCATAAAAGCATATTCCCAACATTTCAATCGCTTCCTGTTTAAATACTTGCTTAGTAGGTACTAACTTAACGTCAGAAAAATAAATGTGCGTACAGTTTTTTTTCTTCTCTCCTGTTTCTTCCGCCGTAAGTTCGTGACATTTAAATGTGCACCATGCAAAGCAAGAGGACGAAATAGAAGGCTCTATTAAAATGTATTGCTTCCGCATAGATAAAAGGCTATCCGAATCCCGACAATGGTGTTCCCCAGATATGTAACATTACATTTAAAATTTGGAAATACGTTAACAACTTTTACAGCCTCCACATTTAACCGAATGATTAATCGACTGAAGTTCCTTAACTCAGTGACTAAAACATTATTCGGATAATTGCTCTGGTTAAGTCTAATATTTGACCATAAAGGCCGGTTCACACATGCAGCGAAGCGCTGATATAGCGCTGCTCACGTGCCGTCAGCTACTTGCCGTCTGCCATGAGCAACAGTTTTGACGGTGCGATACAAAGCTGGTGAACGCTGCCGTCAGCACGCGCTTAGCGCGAGGTCAGCGCTATGCTTGGAGCGCTCCGCTGCATGTGTGAACAGGCCTTAATTCTTCATTCGCAAGCAGCGCTAGCAGGTCATCTCTGTGATGGTGCTCCGTCTAATATTTGAAGATGGGCTATCTCGGCGCGCAAGGGTCGTTTAATTACAGGACTGATAGGCATTATGTTACTTTCTGTTTGGGCTGTTGCGATATCTGATATACTTTCGAAATAATTGTTTGCCCATAGTATGCTCGAAGGAGAAAATTTCGACATCACGTGCATTTTATGTCGTGGACAAACGAATGAAAGCAACGATGTTTGTTGTAAAGAAATTGAGAGAGCAAGCGAGTGTGTGAAGATTAGAGATAACACAACCCCGATACCACTTGTGTGTCGTCTTTTGCTTGCCTGCAGTTTCGAGGTTCTGTTAAGTCTGATGTTTGCAGTGACTTGTCTCTCGCAGTCCCACTGTGAAGTAAAACTCGCGTTACGAACGTTGAATAAGCCTATGACGAAAGACGCGTCGTAAATTCTTTTCGATTTGCATCCAGAGTATGTAAGAGAACGCGGAATGCTGCTTCGTTTCAGGGCGACAGTGGCAGCCCCGCAGTGCAGAAGGTGAACGGGCGCTGGACGCAGCTGGGCATTGTCTCCGGGGAGCCCCACATGTGCTCTGGCAGGCACCTGCCGCAAGTCTTCACCCAGGTCTCTTCCTACGTTACCAACTTCGTCGTTCCCTATGTGAAGCACGGAATCTGCCCTCGGCCTGGCGGCACCCAATAAAAGCTGCTTTTAGTTTTGATTTGTATCGCCTCTTTTGTTTGTTTTATATGCTCAAGATAGCGTAGCATCCTGATTGGACTTTGATGCCGTTGCCCCTGTTAGCTTAGAGTCTAACCACGCGTTCTTTACTGCTTTACCTCCGGGTATCGAGTTTTTATAACTAGCTCTCAACATGTAGATAAGGAGGTGACGAAGATGGTTTGGGAACCAACTGACATTGACATAGTTCAGTCTATCCAATTATTTATTCGCGTTCCACGCAAGCGCTATAGAAAATCGACTGGGTTAAAAGCAGGGAGTCGAACCGGTCATTATTCGGGTGCGGTTCGGTTCCAGTAGCTTTGCATTTTTTTCTGGCTCGGTTCTGGTTCACTGATGCTTTTGAAATAAAGGTCTCACCGAGCGACACAAGTTAAAACCGATGTATAAAAAAAAAGAGTCTACAACGTCCAACGTTAAGAAAAAAAGGTGAGTTGAACACGGCGTCATCGGGATTGAAAAATTCAGGTCTGCGGAAATGAGGGCAGCAAAACAAATAAGTGCGTAATTTCGTTTTGTGATTTTAAATATTTAACTCAAACACTGTTCTATGAAAATTACATGGTTATAGGCGCTTGGAAACAGTACCAAAGTACAGCACTCGCATGTGAAATCAATCAACCAGCACGAACAGTGATACCGTGACAATAGCACGCGCCAGTCGTTAGCTGCTTAGGCAGCATGAGTTGTCTGCCAGGGTATGGCGACACTGTTACCCACTGTAGATGAGGCATTTAGCCAGCGTAGTACGACTGCTAGCCTGGGGTCTTCAACGGGCGTCACGCAGTACTAATGCACGACCGCACGCAGGTACGATGTTCATGTAGATCGAAACGGCAAACTACTCACAGCGTCCACACCGCATGCCCGAACGACTTGCTCGAATCACTGAGTTGAAGAGGGAAAAGACGCTTTCTCCTTCCTTGAGAAATATTGGTTAGAAGAAAGAAAAAAAAAGTATACACACACAGACACCACCGAAAGAATGCTTATGCCCTCGGACCAGTGCTGATTGTTGGGCAAGTTGGCATGGTACGTTAGAAAACATGATTGCGCTTTGAAGACAGGGACATAGGAAAAACAGACACCACAGAGCGCCAGAGCTCTGTGGTGTCTGTTCTTCGTATGACTCTGTCTTCAAAGCCCTCGGGCCCTGACATAAATAGCCCTTTAGCCGATGTACCGCGAAGGACGATACGAGCCGATCCATAGATCGTAGCTTGTCACGTGACGTCACGCTCTTTGCATCGCTCCGTCCAACCGGATGGGCAGGTGACACCCTCCGAGCTATGAATTGGCTCCGGTGACTCTTAGCGTCCTTTCCGGTCAATCGTAAGGTGAAACATAGAAGTGTTCGCGCTGGTGTACGCCTCTACACTGACTCGCCGAGGCCATTACGTGCTGCAGGACGTGGCATATACTTGTTTGTTTCAATGATATTGAGCTGGCTCCATGTCGTCGCTGCCGTTTGTTTGTCAACATTGAGCCGCTGACAGTTGCGCCGCCACCGGCAAGAAGGTTTAGCTCAGATTTTATTACGCTGAACCGCTTCCAACCGGTAACCGCCACATGAGATTACGGTCCCGTCCCGTTTCGGTTCGGGTTCAATATCAAATGTTTGATTTTGATTAGATTGAATTTTTTCTGGTTCAGTTAAAAATAACGGTTTTGCTCCGGTTTTCGATTTGCGGTCGGCTCGACACACTGGGTAACAGCTACATGCTAATCGCGCATCACTACAACAGCCGCTTCGTCGCGTCTCGTGGCGGCAGAAACGACACCTTGTCCGTCTACAAGCTCAGTTTTGAACTTGTAGACGTTCCGGGGCCCTAAACTGGACATCGGGCGAGAATGTCGGCGAGATTTCTGACCGCCGCGATTGGCCAGCGCCGCGCTTGACCTTGGCGCTGGCCAATCGCGGCCGTCAGAAATCTCGCCGACCTTTTCGCAGAGTGTCCAGCTTAGAGCCCCAGTTCAGTTTTGGTAGCTTTACTGAGAGTGAGGGCGCAACACTTTTGTCCTCGAAGGAGCATAAGCCAGTGTGGTGAGACAAGCCGCCAGTCACCTCCAGTGCAATGATGTTGTTTCAGGAGCAACCTTCCAAGCGCTAGCGAATTGCGCCATCAGCCCGTAGGCCCCAGATGAAAATCGACACAGCTGGCATAAAAACCGAGCCCATGATTCCAACACTGGAGTGGCAACTTCGCAACACTGCTGTGAACCATGTTTTCAGGTTAAATATTCTACAACGAAGCTGTTTATGGTTCCGTGGATTTTTAATGTTTATCAACAAAAACTCTAAGCTCGCACCGCCGCACGCCTTCCCCGTATAAAAGATTTGAAGTAAATAACCAAAATAAAGCGTTGACGAACGCGCGTGCATGGTGCAAACTGATTTAGGCTTTTCCTTGGGAACGGTTACTGCTGTAGAAACCGGCACGTGCGGCAGGTGGAACACCATTCCCTCCATTCTTCCTGATGTTTGGGTAATAGAACGATCTCACCAGCCAGTTTGACTACGCCACCGCTGCAGCAATGCATCGAGAGAACTTTAGTCTTTCTGTGCGTGTGACAACCTCGCTGGAACTCTGCGCGTGCAGGGCACGAACAGTCTCGTGCACTGCCGAATGCCTCCTGTGAACTAAAGTTACGGCTACCTCGCGCAAGCGCCAAACGCTTGGTGAGATCGGTCTATTTAGCAATAGGTCTATTCAGCAGATTAGTTATCAATAGGCACCATTTTCAAGGTCAATAGACTCTCGGGTCAATACCGAATGTTTCTCAAAGATTTGCCACTGTGCGACCCACGTCGGCCATGTCTACGCTCGCACCGCCCTCTTTTTGTCGTCGTTCCAAGCGCTTGCGTGCCTAGTTTTCTTTCCTTCCGCTCTCCCGGGGTGGCGCTCCCGTCGCGCCTGTCTAGTTTCATACGGTTCCTCGGGGCGACGATAGTCGTCCAAGCGAAATAATAACCACACATCAAGACAACAGCAAATAGAGAGTTTTAGTAGATCGTTCCCATGACTCCGATAACGATACCCCATACTCCGCCACCGCCTCCCTTGTGCATGCATAGTATCGTTATCGGGGCTATCGGAGGTATCGGAACGATCTACTAAAACTCTCTAATATGTGTGCGTCCCTTTTGTGACGATGGCCACCGATCAAGAGAATAAAGGTGTTCGTACCTTTGTCAAAATTCTGTGTCATGCCTGTGTCGTGTGCTGAATAGCGCAGCTATTAACCCACCTTCACAAAGTTAAATGGCTCATGATTTCTTCAGAGCTTTTGAAGTTCTACTTGTCTGCCACCGTTGTCACGTCCAGCGATGCACGATTCATATGAAGAAATATGCATAAGATCGTGCGACGCCCCTGTTCTCTGCGACATTTTTCTGGCCAAATGTGACAGGGCCATAGCCAACACGGTCTGCGGCGCCAATGTCTTCCACCTTTTCCACTATATCGACGATGACCTTGACCTCCTTAAAGAATGACCTGTTGACAACGAAAAGCAGATAATAAGCCAAACACGATCTTCCTTTTTAAAACAAGCAGAGGGTCTCAAGTTCACGGAAGAGACACCGGAGTGTTCCATCCTCCATTTTCTGGATCCCATGATTATCGTTCCTGGAAGATCAGACCTGTTGGATGTATTCCCCACACTCAAAGAAAAGACTTTTACCATATGATTCAGCTCATTCCAAGATCATAAAGAGAGCAATTGCCACTATTTGCCTCAGCACGGTACTAAAAACGTCCTGTCCACATTCATCCGGGAAGAGTTTTGAAGCTCAAGTACAGCGACTAAAGTGTTTAGGATTTCCTGATTCAATTTTTTTATGTTGCTGAATAGCTGCTCACGTTACTAAGGAGAAAGAAAAAGGGAAAAGACCGTCCTGCCATTGTGCCCTACATACATCGCTTGTCACATAATCTCGAGAGTAGCCTCAAAGTATCACGTCCAGGATCGCTAGGTTGGACATTTGAGAAAAGGTACATGGAAGTGACGTAATGCAAAGGAGGAGCGTATCCTAGCAACACTCACAAGGCGGCTCTGCCCACTTTGACGCCGCTACGTCATCTCAAACTTGACACCCGTCACCCTTTTCAGCGACGTCCGGGGCCAACCACCGACGAGCGGAAGTAGCTACGCATTCCCTGAGGCGTCCCTACGCGCGGGATACGCCGCGGGGTAAGATTTACTACGACGCGGGGAGCAGTTCCTGCGTTTAGCGAAGGAACGGCAACCAATCCTGTGCGTCGCTGGCCGTCGCATCTGTTCTAGTACAGGTAAAAGTATTGAAAAACAATCAAACCTTTTGGGCGTTGTTAAAACAAACCGCTTTTTTGTACCCTTTTGCAATACATTTAAGAATTAATTGGAGAGAAAGTTGTTCCAATATTATGCGGGATGTGCGCTACGCGCCTTCTTCAAACCAAAATGTCGAACCACGAGGAGCCGGGTGTGCCGGGGGCAGCGGAGGGGTCGGCGGAACCAACGGGGAGCGCGCGAGCGACGGCTGCTTTAGTCAGAAACAATTTTTTTTATCTTTCGAGAACTTGCTATTGCTGTGCTCAAATAAGAATGTTTGGCGCAATATCTGTGATAATTCTTTCAAAGTGGTCCAGTGTTTATATGGTGGTATGGTAGTCAGAGAATATATATTTTTTTTCCCTTTCGAAATTTAACTATTGTGCTCAAATAAGACCAGAGTGTTCAACAAGATATCTGTGATATATACTTAAGATTGCCCAATTGCTTACATGGTTCCAGTCGATGCTCAGTTTTACTTCCAAGAATGAAATATTACATTCCATGTTATCACACTTTTACTCATGAAGTCACAGGTTTTTCTTTAAGAAATAAAGCAATTTTCAAAACAAACTACATGTGCATTGTCTTGAGATAACACAATCACCTAACTTTGATGAAGTACCATAAAAGAGATAATAAAATGGAGCAGAAGGCAAGACGCTT